TGTAGCTGCCATGTAATTTTGGATGCCCCTAATTGTACTGCTTTGTCAAAGTGAGCAGTTTTATGCAGAATTGTGCAACAAGTTACTGATTAATACCATACAACTATTGTATTACAGATCCACACTGTCGTCCACATCAACTCTGAATTTTCAGAGAGGAGATACAAAATTCTGCATCAATCCACCTTTATCCCACCTGTTAATTCCTTGGAAAACAATATACACATGAGAGAGAGAGAGAGAGAGAGAGAGAGAGAGAGAGAGAGAGAGAGAGATTACTTTAGGAAGAGGGAAGAAGAAGAAAGCAAGGTCAGAAAAATCTTCCCAGTATTTTTGTTTATTACAGCGATACAAAAATATCTGAAATATAAAAATCTGTAAAGATATGAAAGGACATTATTGTTGTATTCATAGGCTAGTAATTTAGAGAATGGTGCAATAGGAGTTTTAAAATTAATTGTCTACATCCAACACAAAATTAAGCACATTTAAGCCCATGGATTTCACTTGGCTTGTGGTCATTAAGTATTCACCTCTTAACCTCATTCGGCTTTAATGGGATAACTTAAGAGTCTTTTTTAGACCCAGAAACAAGATGGGGCCAGCTATATATGTAAAACAATTAATTACATGTAATTACAGACAAATAACTCCTAAGTCTGACATCTTTCCTGCATTTTAACAAATATATTAAAGCTTCTGAGTTAATATTATGTTATACTGAAACACAATTTGATTACAAAACCACCACACGGTGGCTACAGTGCTAGATTTGAACCCAATATTTAAATACATATTTGGGGGTGGGGAGAAATTAAATTCTGGGAGCCAAAAGGAACTGTGGTTCAAACAAAATACAGAAGTTGAAATAAGTGATTAAACTGGCATCCTATATCATGGGGTTCTCATGAGTAGTAGTCTCCTCTGATCTCCTAGAGGATGTTTAATTAAATTTGTTTTATAGAATAATAGAAATCATTCCCTCAGAGATAAGATTGGCCTCAACTTGTTTCTTCTCTAAAAGGCCTTGAAGCCATGGTTTTGTCAGCAGTTTGGGGACTCCATTTGGAGCCAATTAAGTGGCTTGTCTGATTTTGCTGTCGCCGTCATGTGAATTTTTAGTTATAGATTTTTAATGTTGCACACCACCCAGTCATTGTGTGTGAGCTGTGCAGCTAAATAAATTTGTTTAATAATAAATAATGCACAAGATGAAATTGACAAACACACATCAGTAAAAAAAAACCTTCCAGCACTTACCATCTTGTTGTAAAAGTTCCCGGAAACACTGGAATTTTTTATCTATGTCTCGTAGATTTTTGGCAACTTGAAGGAGACTGTTAGAACAGAATTTACTACCTTTCAGGCCTTCTGCAGTGGCCCAAATATCACGCAGGTGTTCTGGAATATTGGCTAAGGATTGAACATCCAGTGCTGACTGCTTGCCATTGCAAGGGTACCTGAAGTCATTGGGATCCATCCTCAGAGCCCACTTAGAGATTATATTCACCACTGTTGTTCCTCAGTACTAGCAAATTCTGTATTATGTTCCTTACCAGGATAATCTACCAGGTCCAGAATCTAATGTAGCACACGAACCCAATTAACTCTCAAGCCTCCAGGTCTTTATGTTTTTCCTTGGTGCATTATTCTCAGTTTCCAGAAAGATATTCCTGTACTTTTATAAAAATCTAACAATTCCTCTGACAAGTCAGAGTTCAATAAGGGCAGCTGAAAAATCTTCATCGTTCAAGTGAAGTTCAGGAGGGCAGCGATCTAGATAGGTTGAGGAGCAGATGCCCTCAATCTCTCAGCATTAAAAGAAGATAAACGGTGATGGTTTCCATTAAAAGGTCCAGCTCGACAGTTTTGTGAAATACAATCCCAGCTCAAAAGCAAGCCTTGCATTTTCTGTAGAGAGAAAAATATGGTTCCTCGAAAAGAGAGGAAATGGTCCTTTACAGAGCTCCCCCAAAAGGTTATTGAACAAAAGTGTTTCTAGAATGTGACATTAATTCTGGAGAAGGTTGCCTCATCTTTCCCCAAAAGCGAGTCTCCTGCTTACTTTCTCTTTGAAATGTTGTACCTTTAGAGATCAGAATGTGTCCAGCTGCGACCTGCCATTCTTACTCTCAATTTCATCTGAGAACTAGATGCGGAAATGCCAGGACACGTCCCCTATCTTTGGAGAATGGATGAGCCATTTGGGTTACACACACAAGAATGACAGCCGATGTGGCTTTTCCACATTCCTTTTGCAGGAGTGATGAAACCAGAGGCTTCTTCCCACAGTATCTCTGTACTATGTGAAAGAAAGAAGAATACACCCTCTCCTGCTAAGAGTTGGTGGCAGCTTGCCCTGGCCTCCTCCTTTACTCTCTCTTATTAATCACTTCCTACCTGAATCCCTAGGAAAAGTTTTCAGGGTGTGGTTCCAAGGCCACAGATGGAAGGAGAGCTTTCCCAAATGGAAGTCACAATTGAATGAGAGAAGACTTGCCTGCATTTTTGAATTTTTTTTCTTTTCTCACACTAAATTTCTGCAATTTTGAAAGCTAAATTGTAGAAATTTAGTGTGAAAAAGGGAAAAAAGGAAATAGTTAAAAAACTAAATTATGAACAAGGGAAGTATCCCTTGTTCTTTGCACCCTTCCAGTACCACAAATAATGAAAGTTTTTTCTAACACAATACTCTGAAGGATGGTGAGAACTGAAGTCCTAAATACCTGGAAGCCACCATGATCTTATCTTGTATCTTATGACTGCCCCCCCTTCAAAATGGAGATAATAATTTATTGCAAGGTAGGGATGGACAACTCAGGTACATCTTTGTACATACAATGAATATTTGTGTATTATCTGATAGCGCACACATTTTGTGGCCTGATCTGACAGCTGACATTGCCCTCAGAACTAACAAGATTGCCTGCCCCTACCTTGCAGGGCTGTTGCAAGACTAAGGTAATATATACTGAGGTAGAGAAGCTCTTTCAACTAAGAGCCAACTGTTTTCCATATTAAAATATTAAGATTCTGCATATTTAATTACAATGCTGAATCCTCCTTGTAAAGTAGATCCTGGATCCCATATGCAGGTTGAGGTTGAGACTTCTCAGAGAATGGGAACTGGGCTAAGACCGCATGGTCAATTCATTGTTTGAAGTTAAATTCAGATCAGCAACTTTCTAAAGCTAAATACTCTGCCATATGTACTCAATTTGCAAGATTAAGATGCTATTCAAATTCAGGAACAGAAGCCTTTCATTTGTAAATAATCCAACCAGGAACAAAATATTTTTATCAAAAAAGAAAACAAAAAGGTTCTTAACTAGCCTGGGAAAAGATAAAAACAAAATTTAAAAGCCTGGCCTGTTCTAGTTCTTGGAATAGATGTCCAGTATGCAAAAACAAGCAGGTAATTTCCCCCCCTTTCTTCCTTTCTTTACAGTATTAAATTTAAAAGAAAAGAGGAGCCTAGCATCAATTTCATCATATTTTAGATTGTTTCAATTAGACATGATTTAAGTTAGGAAGATAATATTTAAGAATGCTTGAAGTAATACTGCATTAGGTCTAAGAAAGAAAATGTTTTAACAATTGCATGAAAATATATCACAATAAAAAGAACCACAAGACATTAGGCAACATTCCTTTTCAAAATTCTATTTAATTAAACAACAGGGTTACGATACACTCATGTTGCAGAAAACAACAGGACCTGTACTAATTAGAAATAATAATTGTAGCAAGTTAGACAAAATAATCCTTGTAGGTTTTCATGATGGTGATGATGATGTATTATCCATAATTCTTGATACTTCAATAGATCTCAATTATTGGGAAAACAGCTAGAAAAAAATATTTATTAGCAGTATTATGAATCTCAGATCAAAATATAGCAATAAGATGACAAACCCAAATTTCCTACAACAGGGAAATTATAACTAATTCTGGTTGTATGCACTTGAAGGATTGGTTATATGTTTTCAAAGGGATCTGATAAAAATATGTGCTATGTGTCAAATGCCACTTATTAAATTTCTTTGAAATAACAATTCTCATTCATTATTCCAAAGGTCACAAAACTAATATTATCTGTGCTTCTTTTTTCACTTCTGCTTGTTAACAAACAATATTGTACTATTTTACTTCTCCAGTCCAAATTCTGACTACCCCTGCTCTGGATAGTTTCTATTTTCAGATAAAGTAAAATGTACAATCAGTCTCTAAAAACAACAGTTAGCTTTTCACTGATTGAAATATAGCATTGCTATGCTATGACTCATGATACTATAGAATTGAAATTTTCTACCTTCACCGGGTCCCTAAGAAAGGATGTTTGCAGTTAGGAGAAAGAGTTATTTGCAAGTTGAGAGTGGCCAATGGGTGACTGAAAGAAAAAGTGTGGGGGGGGGAGGGAAGGTAATAGAGATTGTAGAGAAGGGATGGTATTAGGTCATCAGTAAGGCTTTGTGTATTTGGATTTATTCTTTTAAAACATCTTTATATGTTTGACTATACTGCCCATTGCAGGGCGCCCACAAGCAAGCCAAACAATTAGAGTTTAGAGTCACTTCAAACTTGAGACTTAAAAACAAACAGACAGAGACTTCCTGGTTCAGCTGGGAAGAAAAACTTCCTCTCCTGCTAAGAGTTGGTGGCAGCTTGCCCGACTAAGACGAATATCACCTGAGGAACTCTGACCCTGGCAAGGGGATAGAGTTTGATGCCAGAAAATCAAAAGAATTGCTGAGAGTTGGTGATGAAGTGTGTCTCCCCCCCCCCCCCCCCGCCCATAATGTAATTAAATGAGTTGTTGCAGACAACAAAATGTTGGTGGATTCTCTCAGAAGGGAACTCTGCATGGAAAGTGTTTTATGGTAAAGCATGCAAGCAAAGCTATTTTCATTTTTCTCTTGCATGGTTTCTGTCATTATTCCAGGAAAGAAAACTCATTGCAGCCCCAATGATTTCCTAGAGCTAGGCATGCTTGTCAAATCAGTGTATTTGGAAGAAGTGATTTAGATCTGAGGCAAGTGCTGAGCACAGCACTTTTGCTATTCATTAAAACATCTACTCAACTTCAGACTTCTGCCTAAAGCATAAAAAAATGTTGTAGCTTCTTTAAGGGTCACAGTGACTTTAATCATTTCACCCTTTCAAATAGACAAGCTTTTTTTTCTCCCAGGCTCACCTGAAAGTCTGCAAAAAGAGAGAGAGATTGTGTGCTTTTGAGGTCTGAAGCGCTTCCGAATTATTTTCAAAGTGTTCACAGTCCTATTGAGTACCTTTAGTGCATTATGACATATGTTCATTCCAAGTTCCAATTACAATAAACACTATATACATATCTAATAATTTCATAGCTGCAAGTTTTAGATTTCTTTTAGAAAAAAAAATCAAATTTTCAAATCTCAAAATCTACCTGCAATTAACAATTTCTGTGTCCAACCACAGTGTGGTTGTAGATATCTAAAGGATGCCTGTTTTAGGTAGATATCTAAAGGATGCCTGTTTTAGATGATGGTTTGGGAATACTCAAGTTCACCAACCTGAAGTTCCATGAAGAAGAAACATCTCATCAGGAGACTTCACCCTGATCACCACTTTTGCTTCATGTTTTTCTTTCGTTTTTAACCAGTTTGTACTTGAACCGCCGAAGGGGATCAGTTATACTTCTCAGGGTCACATCCACAGAATCCTGAGATAAAAGGAAACTCCTGTCCACCAAATCAGCTGCCTCTTGCCAGTTCTTGAAGCAATCTGTGCCTTGCTGTTTGATTTCTTCCACAGCATTGTAGGCAATGACTTCACCATTTGGTTTCAAAACGACCACCACAGGGGGATGGGTGACTGAAAATCTCAATGCCAACTCCCTAGGAATGTTTCAGAAAGAAAGAATAAGTTTCTGAGCTGGAAGAACGTATTGGGATTCTCATAGCAGGAAAGCTGAAAGAGGTATCACAGACCTAAAACTGTCTTAGTTTTTTAAAATTATTCATTTGTTTGTATAGTTATACCAGGATACAACAATTGTATCCATTGATGATCCATCAATGGATACAATTGTTGTATATATTATCATCAATATATAATAATCCCAAACATGTGTTGTCAATTTATTAAAAAGAGGTTTTCCACCTGCAGTTGGGTGGGGCAAGGAAAGTCCTTATTAGTAGTCTAATAAAGACATCCTGGTTCTTTCATCTTTTTTTGTTGTTCTGAAAATAAATGAATTTAGAGAGATAAGAATGATTAATGCCTCCAGGCTGCTTTAGGTCTCTTCACATTTTCCTTGGCATCTTCCAACATCTCAAAGTTACATTTACCAGACTGTATTTTTAACAGTATACTCTGATAATCTCTCCACATTTAGCATGGATAAGGGTCCAGCTCACCCTTGGGTCCTTCCCGAAAGCATTTATTTGTAAACTTCTTTCCCTTTCCCCCATAACAGGTTGGATCTCTTGCTTAGCCCTGTGACATCACCATATAATTAATTTTCCTACTTCCAACAACATAGAGAAAAAGAGACAGGGAAATGCAAAATATGCTATTACAATATTATGGCCCAGATCATTCAGCACAGAGGTCCTGTTTTCAGCATTAGGCTGTCTGTTCCTACTCTCCCTGATGCATCATCTCCCTGATGATTAAATCCTTCTTTAGCAAGACAGTGAAAAGAAAACATTCAGATTAGCAGTTAGAGAGATCCAGCATGAAGCTCTTGATTAAGCAACAGCTAGGCTCTAGCTGAGCAATGTTGTGTAACAAAGGAGCAGCAGCTAGAGAGAGCTGACACCCTGTCCTTATATGTCATTATAGCCAGGATCCAGAACAGGGTTGCTTCTCAAGGTTGCTTAATGAGCTTCTTCACCAACAACTTTAAGCTCAAAGTTGTTGGTATCTACCTACTTACAGAACTTTCAGTGGCAAACAGATATAAAAACCAACCAGACAGATCCATTAAACAAATTGGGTTGAAGTCCCTAAAAAGCACAGTATCAGCTCTTCAGGTAAATAACATCCACAGCAGAATTCTACAAACTTCTCATCCCCTGTGCCTGGTGGAAGATCCAGTTCTGGACAGCTTCTGGAAAGCCAGGAGGGTCAAGGCTATATTTAAGGAAAGGGAGGCTGTTCCAGAAGATGGGCATCGTGATAAAGTTGACCCACTTCTTGCAGTGCATCAATGCAGTGCTCTGCTCCATTGATGGGATCCAGAGTATGCCCACTCTGCTTGACCTAATGGGATGATCAGAAACCCTCAAGGATAGGTGGTCTTGCAAGTAATCTGGCCCCATTCCAAGCAGAGCTTAAAGGTGACAACCAGCACCTCAAATTGTACCCAGAAGCCCAATGGAAGCCAGTGCAGCTCATGTAGCAGCAATGTTATGGTGTGCCCAATACTGCAAGTAACACTGCATTCCGGATCAATTGAAGCTTGCAAATGCTCTTCAATGATAGCCCCACATAGAGCATATTACAATAGTTCACTTGGAAGGTGATCAAGGAATGAGTTACCATGAGCAGTGGCTTCCAGTTTAGGAATGGGTACAGTTGACTCACAAGATGAAATTGTGCAAAGGTGTCTTAGATAATGCCACCACCTACACCTCGGGCAAGAGTTATGAATCTAGGACAACTCACAGATTATGTACCAACTCTGCCTGAGGGAGTGCTACTCCATTCGGAGTTAATGATCAAAACCACTAAATACTTAGGACCCTAAAACCCACAGGCATGGAGTCTTGTCAGGGTTCAGCTTCGGCTGGTTCTTCCCAATCCAGGCCTACACAGCCTCCAAGTACTGAGAAAGCACCTTGGCAACATCATTTGGATGCCCAGATAAAACTCAACCTTCCTAATCCTGGGCTGAAAGATGACCTAATATTAGTTTTCGTGTTAAATAGGAGGAGGAAAGAGCTCTGTGGCAAGCCATGAAGCAAAAACCTAGGAATGGAACCTTCCACACCCAACAACTGGAACCATCCTAAGAGGAAGGAGAACCACCAAAGGCAGGTGGACTCTCCCTTTCCCACAAGGAAACATTCAAAATTATTTGGGCCCAACTGCTTGTGATCTCTTGGGAAGTCTTAACCAATCAGGAAAGATTTCCTGATACCCATCTAGTAGACAGGTTAAGAGAGGTCATATTCCCTGGGCCATAATCATTCTCTTGGGTATCACTGAATTGAACTCAGCTCAGATAAATGTTCAGTAATAAGCAACATCATTTCCATAGAACCAGCCGAGTGGGATGTCAGTTTCAAGTGAATCTCAGTATACAGTCTTTTTATTATTAGGGTCTTGAGATCTGGAATCAGTTAGGGTACTTCATTGACTGTGGCTTCTTCACTTCTGAACACCCTTTGATGATGTACTCTATATTGAAGAGCATACACATCTTCTGATTCTGGAATGTTACCCACTTTTGGTACTGGATATGGTAGCACTATCACAGACAGATGCACCAGTCTGGGTATCCTAGACACATCACTCCTGTTTGAAGAGTAGGTGACAGTCATGGCTAAGAGGGCTTTTGTACAGCTTTGGGTTGTGTGCCAGTTGCACCCCTTTGTGGCATTGTTAGACTCTACTATCACTCATGCACTGGTCACCTCCAGAATGGACTACTGTAATGCACTTGACATGGGGGCTGGTCTTGAAGAACATTCTAGAACAGGGGTGTCAAACTGGTGGCCTGTAGGCCAGATGAGTCATGCACAGGCTACGCCCACCACAGCTCCGTGAAGGGAAAAAATGCCAGGAAACATCACATGACAGTAATGCGATACTGCGAGTTTGACATCAATGCTACAGAAACTTCAGCTGGCACAGAATATCGTGGGCCCTGCCCTCTGGAACATTATCCCTCCCCCCGAGGAATAATATAACCAGAGATGATGTTAGTCCTACCTCTACTAACCTTCTAGAAGGCCCCTGAAACATTTTTTGGGGATCCCATGGGAGCCTTCAAGGTGGTCACCTGATTGTTGTTCTCCTTGAACAGTTGGATTTTTTAATTTTTAATTTATGTTGGACTGTTTTTATCATGTAACTGTTATATAAAACTATTATGTAGTTTTGAACTGTTAGCATGTTTGTATATCACCCGGAGTCAAGTCTATGTGACATGGGCGGCAATATAAATATTGTATAGAGATAGTCCTTGACTTATGACCCTAATTGAGCCTAAAATTTCCATTGCTAAGCAAGGCAGTGGTTAAGTGACTTTTACCCCATTTTATGACTTTTTTGCTACAGTTTTTAAGTGAATCACTACAGTTGTTAAGTGAATCACGTGGTCATTGAACCAATCTATCTTCCTCCATTGATTTGCTTGTCAGAATCTAGCTGGGAAGGTTATAAATGGTGATCACATGACCACAGAACAGTGCAACTGTCATAAACACAAGCCAATCACCAAGTGCCCAAATTCTAATCATGGGATCATGAGGATGCTGCAATGGTCCTAAGCAGAGGTGATATTCAGCAGGTTCTGACCAGTTCTGGAGAACCGGTAGCGGAAATTTGGAGTAGTTCAGAGAACCAGCAGATACCACCTCTGATTGGCCCTGCCCCCATCTCTTCTCTGCCTCCCGAGTCCCAGCTGATTGGCTGGGTCTTCTTCTCCCTGCATAGGAGAAAGGAGCTAGAAAGCAGGTTAGTGGGGTAGGGAGGGAATGGAGATTTTGCAGTAATCTTCCCCTGCCATGCCCACCAAGCCATGCCCACAGAACCGGTAGTAAAAATTTTTTGAATCCCACGCCCACCCTAGCTCCTCAAAAGAAAAAACAGCGTGATGCATCGTGATGTTTTATGTGACATGATCAAATTTGACACCCACATACTTTAGGCATGAAACCTGGCTGGGTGATTTGGGGTCAGTCATTCTCTCTCAGCCCAACCTACCTTGCAGGGTTGTTGCTGTGTAGAGAAAATAGGAAGAGGAAGGATTATTTGGTATGTTCACTGCCTTAAGCTATTTGTAAAAATAATAAAGGTGGGATATAAAATGAATTCTACAACTAAATTGGTGGATAAGGTAGAGACTTGGCCTCCTCTTGTGGGTTCTTTTTTGCTGGAGGAACTTCAGCAGGGACTGAATATTGGAGTCACTTGTCTACAATAGCGCAGTTGCATAGTTAGCAAGAAGTTGAGCTAGACAATCTTCAACACACAGTTTTATGCCTAAATGTTTATATAGTATTGATAAATTGAGATGTCACTTTGGCTAAAATTAATGTTTGAAGTGAACCCAGGCATTATGACATTTGACAAACCACAATTAAATAAATCCTGATGATCTACTCTTGGACCTTGAACTGTTGTAATGACGAAGCAGTCAAGTTGTTTGATCATGAACAACTGAATCATGATGATCTTTATTGGAGTCTAGTCTTGCATTTATACACATTTTTAGTTATCCTCCATCACTGGTTAACTTTGGTTACTGCTTAACTTTCGTTACTGTTTAGCACAGTAATCCATACAATTAATTATCTCTAGTTAAAGTCTAACATATGTTTACTTCCTCTCTCTAATCCTCCTTTAGATTAGTGACTTTGTTTACCTGAGTTGTATTTGCTTGGAAACATTCTTTATCTGAGGTTTGCCATCTGAGATTGGAACATTCCTGCAATTACAACTCTACATTGAACCATAGCTTTTTCTTAAAAAACAAAACCAAACCAAAAACACATAAAGCAAAAAAATTGTAAGCATGGGGATGTGTATTATGACTTGGTTCTGGTTTTAAATTCCTTTAAAAGGAATTTAATTTCTAATTAAATTAAAATAATTTGAGACATTAGCAGGTTTCAAGATTAATAAACAAAAGATAACGATGTTAATGAAAAGCATGAAGGTACAAGGTCAGATAGAATGAATAAAACAGACTTTAAACCTGATAAGTAAAATACTTGGGAATAACTACAACAAATATAAATTGTGTGTTATTTCAAAACAATTATATTAAGACATGGAATGAAGTAAGAAAAGATACATCAAGATGGGGTAAAGTACAATTGTCACTGTTGGGCAGAATTTCTATGATTAAAATAAATGTTTTATCTAGAATGTTATTTTTGTTCCAGATAATACATATTTTGACAACTAATGTACCATTTTAACAATGGCTTAAAGATATAGCTAAATTTGTATGATGGGGGAAAATATTCAGTTAAATATAAGATACTGCAATATGGAAAGGAAAGAGATAGATTGGTCTACCAGATTTGAAATTACTATATACTTTGCTGACTGCTTAGCTTGAATGGAAAAGTGGGTATTGTTTTTTTTTTTTAAAAGATGACTACTGAAGTCAGAAGAACATAATGTGAAATTTGGGTGGCATAGATATCTCTGGTATAACAAAGCTAAGATTAATGTGGATTTCAAAAATCATTATCTTAGGCGGGCCATTCTTAGAGTATGGAATAAATACACACCTCGTTTGTACCCAAGAGCACCTTTATGGCTTTCAGCATAAGAAACATAGATGACATAAGTAAATGTAAATGGTTAATTCATCATGATGTACCATGATGTCAAGGGGATTGAAAAACAAAATCAAGAGAAGACTTGATGATGGAAGGATATACTTGACAATAGTTTTCCTAAGGTACAATTATCAGGAAGGTTTAAAATGAATATAAGATTGTATAGTTTTGAACAAAGTAAGATTGAGTTTGTACCTGTACTAAGAATGAACATAAGTATTTGTGTGTGTATGTATACACACACACACATACACACACACTTTTGTAGAAATATGAGACAGAAGAATAAGTGAAAGAATGAATGATAAAATGGACTTAAACATTGACTATAACATATAAATGGATTGATGGGAAATAAGTAGTTTAAAGGATTTAAATTATATCATGTTCTAGCCTTAAAAAGATTTTTTTAATATAATGATGTTTCTTTGGCATATGTCACCAGATAAATTGTCTAGAATGTATAATAGTATTTTGAATCTTTGCTGGAAATCTGAACAACATGGGCATTTTATCACATTTGGTAGACATGTAAAAAAGCCAAAAATATGGACATATGCATACATTATACATTACCTAGGGAGATTTTACAGATTAAAGTACCATTAAAATCAGAAGGTATTCTTTTGGAACTAATGAACAGGCAACTAAAAACCTTGTTTTTATATATGACAAATACAACAAGACTATTACATGCACAAAAGTGGAAATGTTCTAAACTACCGACAATGGAGGAATGGTTGATGAAAATGATGGAACTTGCAGAGATGGCTACCTTAATTTTCTTGATGAGAGAAAAGTCAATATATTTATGAATGACTAAAAACCATTTGTAGACTTTTTGGATGAAATAACAAATGCACGTATAGCTTATAGTTAGTTTGTAGACTTGTAGATGAGAAAATAATTAGATAAGACAAAAAAAAAAACCTTTTTTATATTGTAAAGTAAGAGATACATTTGCAATTATACTTGTATTTGCTGCAAAGGAAATAAAAATCTTTTCTATTTTTTGTTGTTGTTTCATTCGGCATTTTTCTTTGTTTTCTTTATCCTGTCTTGGTTTGTGTTAGTTTCTGTATTCTCCTAAAAACTTTTAATAACATTTATTTTAAAAAAGATAGTGATTGCGTGCTAATATCCCCAAGTGATGATTGGATAGTTATCAATCAACTATGCACATTAAATATGCTTAATTCCTCTAAAGCAGGTTCACACGATAATTTGTTGATTGACAAGCAACCGGCATAATGCTAATTATAGAGCTATTGCTATTGTAGACTATAAAGGCTGAATCAAAGCTAAACGAACCCATATTGTGGCTTAATATGCCTCAGCCTCAGTTCTGATGTTTTCCTAACTAAATTCTCAGATCCTTACTTTTTGAACTCATCCTGGAAAGGTAAAAACAGCCATCGCTTTGGCATTTTCTTCAGAAACTTTTCTTGCTTCTCCTCTGTGTTGTCCAGCGACACATAGATGAGAACTAGCTGAGATGCTCGCTCCATATAAAACTCGTCTGTAAGTTTCACAAAAAATTCTTTCAGGATGGGGGCAAACTCTTGGCACCGAGGACATTCACCCGAGCCAAAATAGAGGAGCATTACTTTGTTCTCTAATGTTCGGGTGAGCTCCCATTCCAACTCCAGCTCATCATTGTCCTTGTTGTTCACAACAAGGCTCTTGTGGAAAAAAAGGGCAGCCATGGCCACAAGGGGGCTACAAGATTTAAAGAATCATTTTTAGGCACTGCCCCAGATTAGCACTGAAAAGAAAAAAAAGGGAGACAACTTTTGTCAGTTATTTTCCCCATCATTTATTTAATAACTTAACTGTATATCCCGTCTCCTGCACTAAAGGCTCAGAATTTCAGAAAGCACAATAAAAAACTCCAAAACCGATACTGTACACTAATCAGTGACATGCCTTTTCACTGTCAATGGGCTTTATTGTCTGTGTGGGGTGGGATGGGGACACAAACAGCAGCAAGTCCCACTGCACGGGAAGGCAGCATTGTTTTTAAATTTAAAAAATGTCTGGACATCAGAAAGAAACAAGGCATCATAGAAGAAAAAAAAAACCCATCTTCTCCTGCTCTGCTAATCTTCTACTTGTTCAACAGTTAAAAAGAAACATGGCAGTTTATTCTATCACCTTGGCAATCTGCTATTTTGTTCAGCTAAAGAGATAGAGGGGCTTCATTTCTCCAAAGTTTAATCCCAAAAGAAAGTACAATGAAAAGGGCACTGAAACCCAGATTCAAATTTCAGCAGAGCTCTATGCAGATCTCTTTTTCTTCTTGTTCTAGCCTAGCACTAAAAATAATTGATATGGTTGGGCTAGGAAAAGTAAATCATTATAAATGTCCCTATTAAAAGTTATTGTATGATAGTAACTAGTAGAGAGAATGGTTTGGCTGGTACTATGGTATACAGGCATGCTGTTGAAAATCATTAGGTCTCGACAATAGGAGAAACAAATATCTACATCTTTAAATAGATCTTAAATATTTATTAAACATGCCAGAAGTAATGACATTCCTTATGCAAAGATGGATTGCTGTCTCTGCAAAAATTAACAAGGCATTCCTGTTTTAATTCAGTTTGATTTTGTCTCACCTGAAAGCCACCTCATTGTCGAGAAAGTAGTAAGCTGTTATTTTCAGATCTTCAGACCACTGGGAAGGTCCTTCACAGTCTAAAAGGCACTCCTTTTGTTCCCATACTTTAATTCATTGGCTGATGCTAATAACCTATCTTACTGAGTCCACCTCCCTACCTATTAATAGAAGAAATAGCCAGTACTTTAATCTTCTTACAGTAGCTATTTGGAAAGAATATGACCGATTAATTTGCTTATCATAAATCTCTTTATCATGCTAACAAATTATGGGCCAATGACTCATACCATTGCACCCTTCGTTAGCACTTTTATTCTTAATCCTGTTGCACAATTAAATCAATTCATCAATTTAAAACATTAAATTATTTCCTTTACCTAAAAAGCAACTAGCATTCATTAAGGGCTGTTTTTAAAAATGTTAGCAATATAAAATCAGACTAAGAGATGAAATAGCATATAAAACTGCAAAATCAAGAAATAAAAAAATATATAACTCTATCAGATTCACATACCCAGCTTATATTTGTGGCCCCTGATGATAATAAGAAAATGATACTTTAACAAATCCAGAACATCAAAAAGAAAAGGAAATGTTCCCATCCCACTATGCAGAATAACCTAGAGAAGAATCTGGGATGCAGTGGTTTAATATTAATTATATGTATTATGTAAGTTGCCTACATTTGTAACTATGATCAAAGCAGCAGATAAACTTAAACAAGCAAACAAACAATTTTTTCTCTTTCAACCAATTTACCTTTACATATGAGATACCTAAAATAGACTCCCATTATTATTTTAATTGATAGGCTCAAGCAAGAAAATAGGTATCTAGGTTGCAAGCCCACCAGGGAGTTGGGCCTTTAATCTGACTGCTACTGTGATGCAGCATTGTAACTGCATAATTTTGTAGGATTGACCTTGACGGAAGTAATATCCGATCCCTAATGCAATATTTGTATGCTATTCAGAAGTGTCTGTGGGAATGGGGTGGGGAGAATGAAGGGCATAGCATCATGTTCCCATCCTTAACCCTTTGCATATGTGTTCAATGACAGTGGTGGGGGTCTGGATTGTGTGCTATACTTGCCATCTTGCAACTTTTGACCCCTGCTGCAAACATTGTTCTTCATATCTAACACAAAAAGAGGCAAAGACAAAGTTTATATTGTACTATGCCACATTATGGGTTTGGCATAGCATCCTATGTGAATCTAGCTATTGATTTGTTTAACATTTTGTTGAAACTTTGTTACATTAATTTAATGTGATATTTATTTATCAAATTTATATGGTTTCCCATCTCTCCCAAAGTGATTCTGACTGGCATACAAGAGAACTAACAATGAAGTCTTTCCAAAAGCTGCTGGTTGTTATCTGTAAGCCTTCATGGCATAGGTCCTGGTTATTTGAGGAACCACCTATTTCCTGACTATTCGAACCTGCAGGGTTGATGTACTCCTGGTTCTTTTGATTAAACAATGTCATGTATTGTCCCAAAGATGCTTTTTTAAGAGGCAACTGGACTTTCTGGTTTTTCTTTAGACGTTTCACTTCTCATCCAAGAAGCTTCTTCAGCTCAGGCTTCTTAGATAAGAAGGAAATGTCTTCAAAGAAAAACCAGAAAGTCTAGTTGCCTCTTGAAAAAGCATATTTGAGACAACCATGACCCGGATGACTGAGAATCTCCAGCAGTGCCTGCCCCCTGAGATCCCCAGGTAGTTCCCACTTTACTATTGTTTAGAATAGCTGTGAAAACCTGGCTCGTCATCCAAATATTTGATGAGGGGGAATAAGATCCCCCTCACTTTGTTGAGCATGCCATGTTTTATATTTTATTGATTTCCTTGTTTGATTTTTGTGAGCTGCCCAGAGTTGTTTAGAGTCAGGCAAAATACAAGTATAATATGTTATTGTTAATGTTACCCATGCCTGACATATCCCAATGGAATGATACTGGTCATGTGGTACCTCCTGGAGAGCAATGTAACCAAAAACTCCACACAGGATATATACACTGTGTAAAACTAAAAAAGTCAATGCCCTGTCCCAAGACAGTGACCATGTAAGTCATATAAAACCCTGTACTTGGGAACATGACATAAAAATGAGAAAATTTCTTTTTAAACTCCTTGATTGTGTTAAACAGCGGAGGTTATCATAATCAGTTGCTTTTTTAAGCCCTGTCCTCTTACAAAGAGGACAGCATAGTTCTTTGTGAATTTAATAATGTAAGACTGGGAAAAGATTTGCCCTAACAAATCATGAATCCTGAAACAATAAATACTAATAGGAATTAGGAGTACTTTTGAAGTGGAGTAAAGGTCATTGGAACGTCATCAATTCTTTGTATTCTAACTAGAAAACAAAGATAACCTGAACATTGTGTTCTTTCAAAGTTTTGTGATTGTTCTGGTAAAGAAAATATTGCTGCAAATATGCTGTCACAGAAATAAGCACATTCTCTTGAAAATAATGCCTCTTCAAATTATTGTTTATTTAGAAAACTTGTTCAAACTGCAGGTCATCACAAGTATTTCAAATTACAATGAATTATAGTAGTCACAGCAGTATGCATATGTATTATGACAACTGAGGAAAGTCAGTCTGAGGAAAGTCAGTCATATTAACATATTGCCCACAATCTGGCTCCTTATTTTACTGACCTCAAAAGGTTGGAAGACTGAGTCGACCTTGAGCTGGTCAGGATTGAACTCCAGACTCTAGGCAGTTAGCCTACAACATTGCATTCTAACCAAGGCTCCAACTGCCCATCTCACTGTCTAAGTCACTAAATGACTCTGGGCAGTTTACAAGCAAAAGTGATACAGGTAGTTCTCAATTTATGTCCTTAATAGAGCCTGCCAGTTATGGTCATTGATCATGATGATCAAAAAGCAGGTCATCATGTGACCAATCGATTTTACAATCTTTTTTTGCAGTAGTAGTTAAGTGAATCTTCATTGATGTGAAATGAATCTGTGGAGATTAAGTGAACACTGTAACTGTTAAGCAAACCTATTATTTGCTATGAAATATTATTGCCAAAAAACTGCACCCTAAAACTTTGAATAATTGTGGCTAAATGGTTGTAATCCAAAGACTATCTGTAAATGTTTTAAACCTGTTTTAGAATAGTTCACCACCCAAAGTCACTTCTCTGAGATGGGCAGCTATAAGAGCAGTGGTTAGGATGCAGTATTACAGGCTAATTCTGCCCACTGCCAGGAGTTCGATCCTGACGGGCTCAAGGTTGACTCAGCCTTCCATTCTTCCAAGGCCAGTAAAATGAGGACCCAGATTGTTGGGGGCAATAGGCTGATTCTGTAATCCGCTTAGAGAGGGCTATAGTGTAAAGCATTAAGAAGCAGTATATAAGTATATAGCAGTGTATAAGCGCTATTGCAATTGAGCAAGAGGCTGCTGAAGTCACATATCAAAAGGCTATTTAGGCAGTCTCATAATTCAGCAACCCCAATTTGGCGGGGGGCGGGGTTTAACACGTCAGACGACGTTAATTATTAACCTAATATCCCTAATATACTTCTGTAATCTGTATCCACATAACCAATTTGTCTTTCTCTCACGCCCTTCCGCCTCACCCCAATTCAAGTCCGACATCAGTCTAGCCGCCCCAGGGCATCCGATGAAGTGAGCCGCAATGACATTTGTTACGTGTGATTTGTTAAGTGTGAAAAGCCGCTACGAGGCTCCTTTTGATGTTTTGAAACAACCCCAACAGGATCAGAAGCCACATCAGAACTCGGCGATCTGAGAATACGGCAAGTTGGAAATCGCAGGAAAGAAAAACGGAACTTCGTAATAAACACGAGGCGGCAGCAGAGACTGCAGGCCAACGCCTCCCTCGATTGCGGTGAGCCTTGTTGCCATGGTCACCAAGCCCCGCAAAGAGCGTGCTTTCCCAGGAGGCCTCGGGTGCTCTTTCTGTTCTTCTCCCCTTCGCCCTCTCTATTGTAAACAGGTTTTTTTTTTTTTTTGCGGCAGCCAAGTTGCAACTCTATGATTGGAGGCGGAGTTCTCCTTGCCTGAGGTCCTCCTCCAGTGGTTCGAAGGGGCACTTGTGGCCACAGCGGGAGGAGGAGGAGGAGAAGCGGTCTGGTGGTGAAGGGGAACGGAGGTGTAGGAATTTCCCAGGGTGAAGGCTGTAGGCTCGAGGTACGGGAATGAGGGGATAAGCCTGGCGGCGGAGGACGGAGAGAGAGAAGAGGGGAGTACGCGGTGCCACCTGAGAACGAGGGGGCGGGGGGGGGGGGCGGGGGGGGCCGCCGCGAGATGGAAAAGAAGCCGTGAGCGTCGCAGAACCGTCGTGGCGGGAGGGAAGCGGGGAATTGGAGCGTTGCTCTGGCAACGGGAACATGTGGCGATGATGGAAATCCATGCCCAGGTTGGCGCCAAAAGAAAAAAGAAAAAAAAGAGGGGGCCGTTGACAAAGACACCGGAACGATCCCGGTTGTGGTGTCCAGTCAGCTGGCGGTCTTCATCCGTTAGAAAGAAAGGATCAGCAGCGCGTAAAATATATCCTCGGTGTGCTTGTAACGTTGTCATAGAAGCAGGCTAGGCTGAGGGCTGCTTTTTCTCCGATTAACTGGACGCCTTAGGAATCCGTTGGTGTTTATTGGGGGTTATTCTTTATTGAGGATCTGGGGATGGGGACGGGGAAAGTTTTCATTAGGAGCCATTAGGAAACCAAGATTCTAGCCCTCTCTAAACTATGGAAACTCGGGGTGGGAGGGGGGAGAGAGGTGGTGGAGGCCGATCGCTTTCATCCTAGTCGACCTCACAGGGTTGCTGTGGTGGGAGAGTAGGTCTTGCCCTGCCTTTAGACCTAAATGCATCCTGATTAAAAATAACTAAATTGCTTCAAAAGAACGGTGCTTAGCAGTTACTGAATGTGTAAGACGGGAACAGCCTCAGGGAAAGGTGTTCAGATTGCCTTAGCCCATGGAGCAGAAAAATAAGGTTCTGAGATTTTATTTTATTTTATTATGTGTAATGAGCAAAATAAGGGCAGGGGCTTGCAACACAAATGATACCCAAGCACAAGATGTTAAGATTCATTTATCAAAATGATGACATATATAACAAGCTTATGGAGGCTGATTTGCTCTTTCAAAGGGGTAGATTGTTTAAATCACAGGTGATATTTTTATCTGACTTGGATTAGAAATCTAGCTGTTGATGTTTTTAGAGCAGTTCACTACCTTGGCAGGGATAGTCTTTTTCAGGTAGATGTATATCTCTTTCTGAAACTTTATATATGTCTGTGCTTGTTGGATTTTGCCCGGAGTATCATAGAACATTGCTTTCAAGTACTGTTCCAAGATGGAAGATTTATGGAAAATTTGCCCAGTTTCAACTTGGTTTATCTCCTAGTATCTATAATAAATCAGAATGTCAGTATGCTATAAACTTTACTGGCAGAAACTTGTCTAATTGGAAATGTAGGCATCAATTTGATCCTTGTTTCATGGCCAAAATAGCAAAATCCTAGATAATTATATGTGACTTTAATGTTTTATTACAAATATTAGGAAATTACTGTATGGAATTAAATCCAATTTGAATTAGCATTCTGTTTGGATAAATTCTTCTGAGACGTTATGAACAGTGTACTAAGATAACAGCTGTTTCTGGCTCAGTCATCTGTTATTTATAGGAATGCTGCCTCTGAATATGGAAGCTCCATGTTTCCATCCTCAAATATCATATATCATCATATGCAGTAGAAGTAATTAGTTACATGTTTCTCAAGGACCTTTAAATTTCAACAGAGGAATTTACTTCCCATTATGCAGCTTGTTCCACCATCTGAAAAACGTATTTGGAAAGAAAAAACTAAATACTATACTTTTCCTTGTCATTGGAAGTTAATAATTCTGATCTTGTGGATGAAAAGAAATAAATTTGCCAGCCTTGTAGTATCTAGAGATAAACAACATATTGTCTCCCAGTTTTCTTCTTTCCAAATTAAATGTACTTTCCACACAAAACAGTCTCTTTAACCTTTCACAAAGAATTTAGCCTTAATTATTTATGTTATTCTGCACTGGGCATGTTCTAATTTATCAATATTCTGCTTAAAATTACAGTATTCACAAATTATGCAATACAGGTAAAATTTAGCCAAAGCAGAATTGAATGGAACCTTTTATTTTAGTCACTGCACATTATAGGTGCTTCCAGATCTTTTTCACATCCTCTGCTGTCACGGAAGATGTCAATCATCAGGGATCTTTGCAATTGACTGTTTAAATATGGAACTCCCCTGCCCACTTTGAATTCTTTTGCAGAATTAATGAACATCCATTTTCCTCCTTTATTCAGATTATCTATAAAGCTCAGTATTGCTCCTAGAGCAGGACATTGTATTATTCCATTTGTTACTTCTTTTCAGATTAGTGAGGAGCCATTGAGGAACATACTTTATTGCTTCTTGAATTCCAGCTTTTTTGAGATCAGCCAAGGTGAGTGAAGTTTCGCGGAGTAGATATTGTATATCTTTGTGCAAATTACACATGTCTTTTAGACTTCCACTATCTGCACTTGATATTTACAGAATAAATTCCATAAAGTTTACATATTTGTAGTTTGTTTGCTTTCAGCCTTGGTTTTTTATGGTAAGAGCAACAAAGAAGCTGAATTTAAGAATGGTATTTTGAGAATAATAGTAAGTTATGGGGAGTTGTATAGATTTATCTATTTCTCTTCCTTTGGAAATTTACTTTTTGAAATATTGTTCCATTCTGGTGCAATTCTTCTGAGAAGCTGAAAGTTCATCTTTATATTATAGAAAGGAAGTTGAAGTTTTGGGTGTTTTTTTCTGTGATTGTCTAATATTCTTTTTTTAATCACAGCACACATTGAATGGGATGAAACAAGTTCAGATTAATTCCCTTAAGAATTGAATTGCGATTTGCCAGTAAACATCTGTGCAATCTGATAACAGTAATTACTCTTGATAAGGTTGAGCTCTCCTAGAGAAGTTGATTGTAAGCTGGTTGGACTCCTAGGCTTATAGCCTCACAAATAGGTGATGGGTGCTGTGTCCAGGAGGGCCTTTGCACAACTTTGATGGTACACCCCTTATAGCCCAATGTGGACCAGGGTGTTCTAGCAACACTAACACAGACCTTAATTACAGTTGGATTACTATAGTGTATTGCATATGGAGCAGTTTTGGCGATGACCCAAAATTCACACCTGGATCAGAACTGCTGGCAAGTCAATAGGTGGCAACACCTTCCTTGAAATTCCTGCATTGCTTAGCAATAGGCAGATCCAGCTCAAAAGTACTAATGATATGCCCTCCAAGGTCTTGGAGGGCATATCACCTGGATATATCATGGACCATCTTACCAGGATTGAATTTACATAGCTGGTTCAAATATTTTGAGAAGGCCTGTTAAGAGTCTCCACCCATGTGAGAAATAGAAGGCAGGAATTTTCCATTGTGGTCCCCATTGTTTTGCTTTCATTTCCCTGAGAGGTTCTTGCAATATCTTCCTTTTTGGTGTTCCAAAGATAAAACAGGTTTGTTCCATTCTCCTTTTAATCCTAATACATGTTGAACGTTCATCTTTGGGAGTTGGTTATTGTTATGGTGCTGCTTTTTATATAATTGCGGTAGCTCTTGTTCAGTGGCTGTCTTGTACAGCAACAGTTTGCAGTTATGATGGTGATGAAAAAGTAACCTTGACCAATATTCACACAGCTTCATTTATTTAATGACTGAATTGCCAGTTCCAATTGTAGTCACAAAAGAAGTGCTAACAGTATATTGCATAGAATCTTCAGATTGGGATGTTTTACAAACATTGTAAATAAATATTAATAAGGTTTATATATTTATAAAGTTGATGAAGTTTATTTTTATATCAAAAATCAAAGAACTGCATTAAACTATATTTCATTTTTGCTTTTAAGATTCTAAGTTAACACTTTCTTGATCCCCTCAGATCATTATTTGGCTATTGAGACAAAATTTGGCAGGCATTCTCAAAATTCATTCAAGGATTTGTACACCTGGTTTGTTGGCCCAGATTTTGCCAATGACCCTTTTTTCCTAGTTAAGAGTTTTGGAAGCAGCAGGAAACATCTCAGCAGAATAATACTAATTCTCATTAGCAGGCCAAATGGGTGCCACCCCAATCCCCTATATCCATGCTGATGCTGTATCGGTTTTATTATATTTGAAACTGGAAGGCACCAGAAAATTTACTCTTGCTGCTTTTGATATCATTTCTTAGTATTTATTATGTGATATGACTGCAGTTATCTAACTTGTAGTTTTCCTGATTTGGCTTACAGAATGTCTTTTCTTTAAAAATGCATTTCCTTCCTAGCAGTTTAATAAGGGGTTTTGCAGTAAAGACAATAGTTTACTTGTCTAAATAGTAGTGCCTGGCCTCAATTCTTTGCTCAATTACCTAAGATCAAATATTTATTTCAGTGAACTTTCTTTTGCATAGAACAAATAGAATCATAAATTATTTGTCAAAAGACTTGTCTCAATTGGGATTTTACAGAAAGTCTTGTTGTAAAGACTCTTGTTTATTCAGTTATCTTCTGATCCCAAAATGTGAGTCTCTGCAACGGAGGAATTACTCCCTTGAGGATCTCAGAGTCAGTGGCCTTTTAAATAAAATGGTTTCTAGTTTCTTTTAGAGTTTGAATGATAAAACCAGCACTTTGATCACATCACTTAGACTACAGGTAGTCTTTGATTTATCAATCACAATTGAGCCCCAAAATTTCTATTGTTAAGTGAGACATTTGTTAAGTGAGTTTTGCCTCATTTTACAACTTTTTTTGCCATAGTTGTTAAGTTAACCACTAAAGTTGATAAGTTACTAACAGGATTGTTAAGTGAATGTGGCTTCCACATTAACTTTGCTTGTCAAAAGGTCTCAAAAGGTGATCACGTGACCCTGGGACACACCATAGGTCATAAATATGAGCCAGATGCCAAACACCTGAATTTTGATCACATGATCATAGGGGTGCTGCAAAGGTTGTAACTATGAAAAGCAGTCATAAGCTGTTGTAATTTTGAACAGTCACTAAATGAACTGTCGTAAGTCGAGGACAACTTGCACCTGGGTTTCTCTTTGAGGAAGCTCTCACTTCTATTGCTGCTATTCTAGCATCCCTGTTGCATATTACACTGAAACTGAGATTAGCGAGGTGATCAAAATCAGATTGCATGATTTTGTAAATATTTAATAATTAAAATTTAAGGAAGGACAAGCAAATGATACTGAACAATTGCTGGATAAATTGCAGTTGAGTGACTAGTATTTCTGCATTGTTTACTGATGAAAATAGTAATTACAGTTTTTGGGTGGAGATGAATTCTTAGCTTATTGCTTAGTTGCAATTAAAAAGCATTTTTCATCCTGACTAGATAATTGAAAAATAATGCTTGGAAAAAATAGGAGTAGATTTCTCCATAAAAGCATTTGTGGAAGGACCATAAATTTCTGTGTTGAACATGTGCTCAATTGTATCTTCCATACATCTTCAACATATGTATGACAAACAGAGTGTTATTTTGAGTATAGCTTACTGTTGGCAAAAAATAAAATAGGACTTGCAAGCCTTATACTACTAGCCAACTCTGCATCAAAGGAAAGGTGAATGCTTCACTACATGATCAGAAAAGTGTTTGAAAATAAATTAGACCTTTAGTCTCTGACTTCAATTAAGAAAAGTAGGAAAGAATAGGATAATATGGTTTCAGGCAAAGACCATATATTCTATCACATGCCCTGTTCTCAAATTGTTCATACTTCTCTACTGTATTGTGCTTTCCATTAATATCTTCTTAAAATGTATTATTTAAACTCATAATTGTGGTCATAAGTCAAGGATTACCTGTACTAGAGGAAAGTGGAATATAAACCAAATAAATAAAGATTTTAGTCTGGCCTTTTCATTGGCTCCTTTCACCTTTGTCCCATCTGTATTATATGGTCAGTTTGCCTATCTCCCTGCGATCATCTTCTATTTATTTTAACTGTTTTTTACAATTAAATTACCCTAGCAGCTTACATGAAGCTTATCTCTTTTTCCAGAATGCACACAATTGGGGTTTGTACTGCTTCCCTTGGCTCACTGGGCCTCATGCGATTCTTTGGCATGTCCTGGACATGGAGTATTGCAGCTGCTTTGGGCATTTATATTGGCAGTGGTGGGTGGAACTTCCTCCGCATCATCTTCAAGACAGCCCTGAGAGATTTACTGTAAGTACAATTTCTTCTTATGGTATAATATCAGGATTGCTGTATTCATCAAAATGTTTGTTGCCCTAGATAATAAATCTGTATAAACCTGAGTCCTTTCATGGAATGAGGATGTGAATTCTCCACTGATCAAGAGCTCTGATAACTACTTTAAAATTCTACTATAAATACTTTTGGCCTTCCCAACTATCCTCCCAAATGAACGTTTGTATGTCACAGAAGTATAAATGGATGCTTATAGTAAATAGACTTTGTTGCCAGTGCTAAGAAGAAGAAGGCTGGGAATGATACTGGTAGTACTCCAAGTCATTGTTTTCTGTTTATTAAATCTTTTGTGTATAAAATAAGAAAACAGCCTGGGAAAAATTTACCAGTCTGTTCCAGAAGCCAAATACTATAATGTTTATATACATCTTAAAGAAAAATGTTCTTCTTGGGGTTTTAGGACAGCTGGTTGTTGAAACACATATTTAAAAAATATAAATAATATTAATAAAATGCTAATCCCCAGACCATACCGATTGCATTTTTTAAAAAAAGAAAACCATTCACTGAAAGTTGAAGGGCAGGAGACATGTTTGGGACTGAATTTATACATTATGTGAAGTCACAATTTGCATAGTCATACTTATTAAGTTAGTCAAAACTGTTGGATAGATGCCACCATATGCAATATGCTAAATATGAATCAAGTAAACTGTATTATAGCTTAGTATGCTATGTGATCTAGGTCTTATTTAAATCCACCATTCTCAATCTGCTTTCTTTCTGGGAGGGAAAACCATAAAAAACAAGTTTAAGTAAACACCTTACCAGTTGCTTCTTCCTTTGGTTTTTCTGTAGACTTGGGTACAGTTGAAGAATTTTGTAATTATTCATAATGTAAAATTCATGCTCAGCCAGTAGCAGAAAATTCTTATTTATATGTTGTAGAAAATGTATGCCTGTGTCAAGATGGGAGCGGATTTCACTAATTGACTATAATGTTTATCTAGGAAATAAAATCTATGTGTCTAAACTCTATGTGTACTAAATTGGTTTCTTACTATTTGTACAGAGATTTTTATTTTTTTTAAAAAAAATTGGGGCCTCTCCGCATCTGCCTAAGCTCCTGATTAGGATATTCGCAGTGAGGAAGGATAGATGAGCTTATGGTGCTCTGTGGAATCTTCCCAATACCTTTCCAATGTCTAATACTTTGTTTTCCTCTTGCTCTGCAGCTGAATTTGGCACCTAGTGTTTTGCATGTCCCCTTAGGGTCTTTTTTCTTGTTAAAAGGATTTAGGGCTGCTGCTCTTACAAAGGCTGTTATAGTGACTGTCAGTGCCCTCTGGATCTCTACTTCCTCCCAGTTGCATGGCAAGTGAGAAATAACAGCAGAGAATAAAGCACCTCTTAAGAATATGGAAAGGGCAATTCATTCTTGAAAAGGCTCCTCTGTTTCCTTCCTGGCACAGTTTGGGTCACTATGATAGGCCAGCTTTGCTGGGCATCATGCCAAGAGCCTATTACTAAACCAGCCTCTCTTTCCACATTTGCCTAAGCTCCTGATTAGGACACTCACAGTGAGGAGGGATAGATGAGTTTTTAAGAGGTTGTTTATCTATCCTACTGCTTGGTCCTCTGTGGAATCTTCCATGCTCTTCTTTAACCAATCATAAAAATACATTTTCTATTATTACCCCACATTTGAGGAAAATAAATGTGCTAAGTGCAGTACAGCTAGCATTGTCTTGACCCTGGTGCAGTTTTCGTGATATTTTTTGTCGATACTGAAAATACAGCTTTTGAATTGCACCACATTTTCATTCTGATCCATCTTTCACATCAATCAAAACAAATATAAAATGTGGACAGGCAAGTAAGATTTTCTGTGATGTGTTAATTGGGAATTAGGCAACTTTTTTTGTGCAGTGCAATAGTTGTAATAAAGGAATATCATAAGACAGTTATAGATATCTAAATATATCAAGGAATGTGGACAGATCAGTTGATGTTTAAAAGTAGATGTTACATTGGTTATAATATGCTTTATTTCCAATTTGTTCAGTTATACCAGATGTATGTTTCAGTCCCGTGGGAATGTCTAAAATTGCTTTATACCAAATGAGTCATTCTCCACTTGATAAAGAATTGCCTTTTCTAACAAATCACAATTCTACAGCTTCTGGATCACAGGCTTTATCAGTCATGCTTTATAAGAGATTGAATCTGAGATTTTATTCAATTTGGGATGAAGGGTGTTCTGAATTAATTTCCTCCATTGTATTTCATACCTTTTGCTTGATCAGTGAACAGAGATATAGATGCAGATGGAAGGGAATAAAGCTAATTGAGATTGGCTGGAACAAGTAGAAAAAGTGAGGCCAATAATATCTGCCAGTTAGTGATTTTTCTACATGTAGCATTGGCAAGCAGAGGTCACAGTTTAGCTGGCAGCTGCAATAATTGGTTGGAAATATTTTCCACAAAATCTTAAGTTTATTGTTGCAGATGAGTATTTAAAAAAAAAAGTAAACAAACCCAGATGCCTCCTTCATGTAACTCATTTCACGTACACCTTTTGTCACATTTCTTATTCTCACAAACTGCCTAAAACGTCTTTTTTAAAAAAAGTTATGTTTGTATCACTGGAGCTGTTCATTGTTGAAAATAGTCTTGAATGCGAGTCTTACAACATTGAATTTAGACTGACATATTTCTTTTTTTTATTGCTTGGTTTTATATGTCAATAGCTCTGAATTGTAGTTACGAAAAGGACAAGCTGTGGAGTGTGTTTTTAATGTAAGAACTGTTTAATCACTTTCCTCGTTTGTGTGCAGAGTTATATAAACTGACATAAATTTGAGTACTCGTACGTGTTAAACTGAATATTTATGCCATGTATATTGAGAGTAGTTCCAGTGGCAGTATTTGGAATTTAAATTCCTTTAGGCGAGGGAACATCGGAGATTTTATCTTGTCCTTATGAGTTGTGTTTACATGTGTATAAATAGAGCATAGTGAAAGCAGAAATGCTTCTCTAAATACACAGCGTAGCTGCTATTTGTATTTAGCCATTCCCCCCTCCCCAAATAATAACTTTCAGTTAGCTCACTTTCATCTGCTAAAAGTAGCAAGATTCTCCCAAGATTTTCTTTCTCAGATTCAAAAATTAAAGTGGCTTTAAATTTCAGCCCTACATGGCACAAGGCTGGGTGGGTTATTTGAGGGATTACTCTCCTCTGTGACATCTACTCATTCTATGGGTTCAGCAGAAGAGGCTTGTTGCAGGTTGCAGTCCACTAGAAAGTGTCACCTGATAAGACTTGGGGCCTTTTCTGCCACTGCACTTGCCCTATAGAACATTATTTCCCTTGAGATCTGGCTGGCCTTGACCTTGATTAGCTTCTAGAAGGGCTTGTAGTTGGAACAGAGGACATAGAATAATATGGTTGGAAGGAACCTAGGAGATCTTCTAGTCCAGGGTTGTCAAACTGGTGGCCCGCAGGCCAGAATGTCACATGCAGGCCATGCCCACCCCAGCTCTGCGAAGGGAAAAAAAAAGTCACAAAACATGTGACGGTAATGTGATGTGGCGAGTTTGACATCCATGTTCTAGTCGAACCCCTGCTCATGGCAAGATATCCTGTACCATTTCAGACAAATGATGATCTTCTTAAAAACCTCCAGTGGTGGACCACCCACAGCTTCCAGAGGCAAAGCTGATTAATTGCTCTCACTATCAAGGAATTTCTCCTTAGTTCTAGGTTGGATCCCTCTTTGATGATCTTTCATCATTACTTCTTGTCTTGCCCTCAAGTGCTTTGGAGAATAAGTTGACCCACTCTTTTCTGTGACAGCTTCTCAAGTACTGGAAGACTGCTATCATATCACCCTTCTCATCCTTCTCTTTCTTAGACCGGACATACCTAGTTCTCTCAATCATTCATTATGTTTTTGTCTCCAGACCCCTTATCTTTGTTGCTCTTCTCTGCACTCTTTCTAGGGTCTCAACATCTTTTTTTTTATATTGTGGTGGCCAGAATTGGATGCATGGTTCCAAGTATGGTCTCACCAGTGCAATGTAAATGGTGATCTTGAAACTATCTAGGACTGCATTAGGACTGCATTAGCTTTTTTGGCAGCTGCAGTATACTGTCTACTAGCATATCTAGATCTCTCTCCCAGTTGCTGCTATTGAGCCAGGTACCACCTATATTTCTACATTTGTTTTTTCTTACCTATGTGTAGGATCTTACTTTTCTCATCACTGAATTGCATTTTGTTGGAGAGGGCCCAGTGTTCAAATCTGTCAAGGTTGAGTCTGTCATCTAAAGTGTTAGCTATTCCCCTCAGCTTGGTGTCATCTGCAAATTTGATGAGTTCACCCTCTATCCTCTCATCTAGATCATTTATGAAGACATTGAAGAATACTGGGCCTAATACAGAACCTTGAAGTACCCTCCTGCATGCTCCCCTCCATGTAGATGTAGTTCCATTGAGGCCTACTCCCTGAGTGCAGTTTGTCAGCCATTTGTGAATCCATCTAGTGGTGATACTATCTATCCCACATTGTTCTATCTTACCAAGACATGACTCCTGTGGTTTTTTTATCTGGTCTGGGAACAAGAAAGTGGTATGAAGCCCATAAAATCATTGTATGGCTCTTGAATTAACATGCTATCCCAATGATTGTATTCTATGCTTTTATTGTTTTTACTGTTTTAACATTTTGTATGGATGGCATATTTGTTTTGTTACTTGTTTTTTTGTATTGTTTATATTTTAATTGAAAGCTGCCCAAAGTCAAAATGTGACATGAATGATTATATACTATAAATTGAAACCCACCAACCTGCTGTAGCTGTCTCCCATCCAGGTAGGGTGCTACCTTCCTAAATGTGAAGGTGTTCTATCTACAGGGAAATATTTTCTCAGATAGCAAGCAATTAGCCTTCTTTTTTTAATATAAATTTTATTTGGGTTTTCACAAAAACATAATACAAATAAAACATCTTTTTTTGAGAATAGCATGATTCCGCGTTATCACTTCTTCATACAGACACAAACTCAATTTCATATTCATCTTTGTGTTCTGTTCCATATCTTATTACTGATTTAACATTTTCTCCATAATTTTTCCCCTCCCTTGGTTTTCTCAACTTTATTTTTAATTATCTCATATCTAAATTCAATTATATATCTTTTTCTAAGCTTCAATGTCTTTCCAATCATACAGTATTTATACTGTCCTGTTTCAATTTCATATTATCTTTTCTCATTAAACAAATTTTTCCCTGTAGTTACTAATTGGAGTATGACACCTTTATATCTTTTAATTTTATCCATTCAACTCTTATTTAAACTTCAATTAAATTATAACATTCAATATAGTACATAACTTCCAATCGAATTCTGCTTGGTACATTCTTAAAATACACACTATTTTCATATATATATATACATATACATACATACATACATACATACATACAT